GCTACCTGGGATTCTTATTCTGTGAAGTGATGTGAGCTGGTACATTGTATTTGGCACAAACTTGAGATTCTCACACCTTTCAAATTGAAGTTCTATTAAGTTTGGGGGCAAACCCCCATCTGGAATGAACTCAATCCTGGGGCAACCAAACATCCATAGCTTTTGAAGAGATTTCAGCTGGTACATTGTATTTGGGAGGGATTTGAAATTCTCACACCATCCTATCACCAAGAAATTAAGATTGGGGGTGCATAACCCCAACTCTTCTGGTAAGGACTCTAAAACTTCACAGCTGGAAATAGTTAACTCAAGGAGATTGCTGACACAATCGAGGTTGGGTAAACTTTTCAATATTTTACAGTGTTGAATAGTAATGGATTGGAGTTCCATACAATGTTGCAGCATCCTCTTTGGAAATGATTCCAACCACTCGCCACCATTAGTAACTGTAAATTTCTTGAGAAAAGCTGGTAGTTGATGACAACTACCCTGAGAAGAATACAAACATGGAAGATTACATATTTCCAAATGTAGATTCCTATTATTATAGTCACCATCAACATCCGGTAGAGACTCAAGACCTTCACAATTTTTTATTATCAAATATTTAAGTGATGTGGGTAATTTGCCTCTCGGAAACAACTTGAGAGAATCACAATCACAAATTTCCAACCTTTCTAGTCTCGACATCAACATGCTAGTGCTTCTGCTACTGCTTCCATCCATCCTTGTCATCATTGCATCAGGTAATGACTCCAAAGCTCTACATTTCTCAAGCTTAAGATGTTTAAGATTGAAAGGCAAGAGGCTTTGTTCTATTTCTGTCCCTTCCTCCCACAAAGAAGTAAGATTATAGCAATTTCTAATACCTAAAGTCTCAAGTGCTGTCAAGGACTGTGTAAAACTCTTTGGCAAGCAAGTCAATTTTATAATATGATGTATTCTCAAGTTAGTGAGGGAAGTGAGATCAACCATGCTCTTCAAAAGCACCTCGTTGCAATCTCTAATAAACAACTCTTTCAATGATGGAAGACTCATATTCATAGGCAAGCAAGTCAGTTCTAAAATTTTCTCAATGCTCAAATAAGTAAGTGAGGTGAGATCACCCAGACTCTTCAAAAGCATCCCGTTGCAGCATCCAAACAACTAAGCATTTAAGTGAAGAAAGGTTGTTGGGTAATTGTCCTAACAACCTAGGACAATTTTGAATCAGAAGGCTACGAAGACGAGGGAATTCACCTTCACTTCCAGCAAGAGAAGTCCATTCCTTCCAATTTAACATGTTTTCAAACAACAGTTCCTCTAGTGATGGAAAACAGTCTTGTCTCCCATAAAACTCATAACCTACAGCTTCTATTGCCTCCATACCTTTGATAATCAATTTTTTGAGAACAGGTAATAAGCCAAGTGATGGTAACAAAGTGCATTTCTTACAATTGTTGAGCTCCATGGATGATAAATTGAAAAATAATAATGGATCACAAACCCAAGGAGGGAAATTCTTGCCACCATAGCAAGAAATTTTGAGATTTTTCAAATTTGAATGAGGTTTTAACCAGCTAAGGACTTGCATTTCAAGGACTAATTCATCTCGATGATTCTTAGAAGTAGTCCACTCCAAGACTAACTCCTCCAGACCATGGATCTTGTCTAGGTTGGCCTCCCTAGCATCTTGAACATCCAAAACATTATGTAGATCTAGCATAGACAGTCTTCCTCGAAGTTGTGACAAGTTCTTCAACTCAGATAATCTCATCATTCCACTTGCCTTCCCCACTATAAATTTGGACAATGTTACAAGATTTTTAAGATTGCCTATTCCTGATGGCATCTCTTTTAAAGATGGTGTAAAAGTGATATCAAGATGATGGAGATCAATTAGATTCCCAATCGTTGTAGGCAACTTAGTAAGCTGATAACAACCATGTAATAATAGTGTTTGTAGGAAAAAAAGAGAACCCACTGATTCAGATAGACATTCGATAAGTGTATTAGACAAATCAATGTATCGAATATGTTTCAAATTTTCAAAAGAATCTGGTAGCTTGCTTATCTGATAGGAGCAAAGAGATAGCACTCTTAAGCGATTTGATGTTGGTAGGAAATCAAGCAAGAATCTTTTAGGCAAGTAAAACCAAGTGTTGCGGCCACAGAGTGGCAAGAATGTTCTCAAATGCTTCAATTTATCGAAGACTCTGAATCTCTCTGAGATTTCATACTTGTGTGGAGTGAATGACAAATGACGAGCTTTCTCTAATTTTTCATCACCCATGATACGTTCAAGATTGCAATATATTTTTCCAGCAACATCTACAGCTAAATCATTTATAAGGTCATGCATCACAAACCGCGATTCATCTCCACTTGACTGTTGAAAGAGTGATCTTAAGAACAACTGATCGAAATATTGATAACCAATCTCCTCTTCCATTTGCTTCTTTTCATGTGACTGTTGCTGTAACAAGCCCTTAGCCATCCATAACAAAACCAACTCCTTTTTGTCAAATTCATAGTCTTTAGGGAACAAAGCACAATAAGCAAAGCATCGCTTCAAGTGAGGAGGAAGATGATTGTAGCTCGATCTCAGAGTAGGAAGAATTCCACTTCTATCTTCTGATGGATTCCATATCTCACTGTTTAATATATTTTCCCACTCATTATGACATAGCTTTCCTCGCAAGATGCCACCAAGTGTTTTTAGTGCAAGTGGCAATCTTTTGCACTTCTTAACAAGTTTCTCACCAACATCTTGTAAGTATGGGTGCGCATCAAAGTTCCCTTTCCCCAATGCGTGTTGTGTAAATAATGGCAAACAAGCATTGTCTTGTAGTAATTCTAAATTGTAAACTCCATCATCTCCTCTCATCATCATCCCAACTTCCTTATTTCGAGTTGTGACTATTATTTTACTTCCAAGAGCTCCTGACATGAAAGGTCTCTTTAAGACATCCCATAGTCCATATTTCTCATTCCAAACATCATCCAATACAAACAAAAACTTGTGCCCAGATAACTTTCCTTTCAATTTCTCTTGAAGCAAACCAAAATCAGAGTTACACTGTTCTTCCCCAGTTACATGTTCTAAAATAGTTCTTGTTATTTTTGGAACATCAAATACATCAGCAACACAAACCCATGCCTTCAAGTCAAACCTACCTTCCAATTTTTCATCATTGTAAATGAGTCGAGCAAGAGTTGTCTTGCCTAGTCCACCCATTCCAACAATGGGAATAACAAAGTCTTGTTCGAGACTACCTCCATCTTCTAGCAACCTCTGAAGAATAACATCTTTATCACTATCTCGACCCCACACCTTATCTTCAAGAAGAGGAGACTCAAGTAGTCTTTCAACAGTTACTCTGTGGGACTTATCTTCAGCTTTCATAATCAAATTGATCAAGCCAAAAGTATGCATCTCTTTTTCAATATGCTGCAATCTAACATTTAGATGATTCACCACAGAATCAATCTCTTGACTGGGTTTGGCCTCATATCTAAATAAATTCATAATAGTGGAGGTGATTTTTTGTCGCATGTTGGCTTTAGCATCAAGTTCTGCATTCAATTTGGACCTTCTGGCATCAATCACAAACTCTTCAAGTATGTCCTCCATATCATAAGCCAAGTCCTTGAGATCATCAAGACATGACTTCACAAATAGGTTGGCAACTTGATTTTCTTCTGCGTGTTGAAGTATAGTTGTGATTTTGGGCAATAAAGTCTTCCAGTTTTCCATCTGGGCACATACTTCCTCCTTTGAATCTTGTAACTGATCGCCTAGATATCCATTCAACTTTTCAAGTAGCGAGTCAAATGTAGCAGATAAAAGAGAACCTCCAACAAAAGATAAGACCTCCATTGGATGAAACAACATTTCTGCGAAAGAGAGAGAGAAAAAGATTGAAGTACAAATTAGACTAATCTATTGAATACCTCACATTCGTTTTACTATCATCAAGTTAGTATTATATCCATCAAAAGATTGCAAATAATAAAATGAAATTTGAGTAAAAAAAATTTAGCCATCTATTAGTTGGGGATTAATTAAGAAGCACACCTATGCTTTAACGCTCCAAGCTGGAAGCGCGAGTGGAGATACTTTCTGGAAAATAACTGCAAGGGTGGAAGAGTAACACAATAAGAGGATGGGAAAAAGAGAGAGGCTTTGGATGGTTGAAGGAGATGGATGAAGTTCTGAAAGAGAATATTTAGGTTGATATGGTATGTAAAATGACTTATTTGAATGTGATACTAAAAAAGAGTC